ATCTCGGAATTTTAAATCTGTGTTAATCTGTGTGTTTTAAGAAAGGATCAGAAATACGATCCTAAATTGAAAGGAACCGTGTGTCAGAACTTAACTGAAAGAGATCTATGCACAAGAACCCTTACATTGTCTCCGGACAATTACATTGTCTCCGGTTCTTTACAATCCGAAGAGTCGGTAAACGCCCATCATATAATGACTATTGCTAAAATTTACGTAGACATACGTACGTAACGTTGTCAGATACTTGCACTATCAATGATGAACCCAGCTGTCCCCTCCACAAAAGCATGAGATCGTGCTTTGAAACTCCTTCCTAACGTCACTGGACCAAGCGTTTTAATGAAAACGCGAATTAAAACATATATAATTACCGGAATTCATGATAAAAATAAACAATTTAAACGAACCGAACTACAATTTTTGCAATATTTTAATTTCAAAGTTCTTGTTCAGGTAGTGGACTAAAGTTTGCAGGCCGTTCAACGCTTTTATTGAGGATCATGTATTAGATTCGGGAATCGAGGCCTCCCAGAAATGGGACAGGATAAAATTATGTGATACTTAGCTAAAAACAAACATGATAGCAAAAAAGAATTGGCCCAGGAAAATCAATATAACTCTCTCAATATAACTCTCTATAACAATACGCTCTTACCATAAAGAGAGCCTATAATTTAATTGAGCTCTCTAGAAACGCACCTCCACTTTAAGATCACCGCACCCAATGATGGTTAAAGCCCAAAACCAGTTAAGGTGTGATCCAATCGTGAATCGGGAGTCTGCCATTATATTAGAACCGAAAAATACAACCTACAATAAACTGGCCAAAAATAATACAAAGAGCTCAAATTAAGGATGTTTCCTATTTTTCGTCCCTTGTGACCTATTTTTCGTCCCTTCCGTTCCAGTTAAGGTTGATTTTCAAAATCACAGGTAACTACTCTTATCTACACAGGTCTCACGAACCGACGACCTTCATCGTTGACGTATACAAATTGTATTTGGCCTGTCAATGGAAATAATGAAACATATTTAAAAAGGATCATGATGTCTTATGTTAATTTCCCGAATGAAAACTTCCAACCGCGGTTCAAATCACAAGGACTTCCACTGCAGAGAAGTAGTATTTTCAAAATCAAGATATGGATAAGAAGGCTTGTGACCCGTTACATGAAGCTAATAACTGATTTGCGTAATGTCATATACCTTCAGCGTTTGATGAAGAGGTAAGCTTGCTGAAATTAATTAAATTTGCAAACAAGTCGGCCACTTAAATTTGACGCTCGTTCTCGATAAATAATTAACTTCTGCGAGAACCTGGCACTAACGAGTAATAGTTTTCAAGCAAAGTAATTAACATGGGTTCACTTGTAATTTCTGACTCAGGCATCACATAGAAAGAGGTCACCAGTGATAGGTCACCAGTGATATAACAGCCCGCGAGGCAGATTCCAAGAACACTAGGAGGAGCCTGCATGACGTCATACTTCCATAACTTTTGGGCCTTAATTTTCTTAAATACTAACTATTATTCCACTTCCGATATCTTTCCACGACAAACCTCTAAAGTTGTATTTAATCAGAACGTATTTGACAGTTCAACATTTGCTCCAAAATTTGAGACTATGAAAACGCGCTCAAATGCGACAATCTTCGCTCATTCTTTATTTTGTTGATGTGTGAGTAGATGAGTGTTACTGAAATTGCAGCCTATTAAGAATATCAAATAATTATAAATAGCAAAAGACATGCCTAATTATATTGTGTGCAAACGCAAACTATTTACCCTTGACGGGAATATTCTGGAATTTAAACTAATAATTCATTTTATATTATAGTTAATTTTTATTTATATCGAATGTCTGCTCTCTGTTCACACACACATAAATCTAGTGCATTATCCCTATTTAAGCTTTTGATCTCTTCGGAAAGTACAAATTAGAAAATTATTTTAGGAATAAGGACAGCTTTCCATTTTCCAACTTGTACGCATTTTACCCTTCGTGATGCTGGAACGTTATTGCAAAGATTAATAACGAAGTAAAGAACCTATTCTATTGATATAGCTAAATTCTTTACCAAGAAAAGAGTGGAAAACCTCAATTGAGCGGGTAATGGGATTTTAAGGTTATTTGGCCTTCCAGGAAATGGGAAGCTGCTTTTTGTGCGCTTAGTCATATATTAATTGTTCGGGAGGGTACCTGAGGCCAAGAAATTATTTCCCTTGATGGAACTTTCAACTGGAATTAAGATGAGTAATGATACCTGGAGCTAAAGTGATGCAGAAGCTAAAGATTAAATTTATTATGATATTTCAATTTCAGTTTAAACTGAAATCAACGACTAGCAAAAATTTCAAATCATTTCAAGAGCGAAATGAGTCTGGGGTTGAGAATTTTGAATGAAAATTTTGAGCAAATGGTTGGATGGGAGATTCCAAAATAGATTTTAAATTACAGTTTGCGCACTCAGAATCTTGTATGATCAATCGGCTGCTTAAATTGTAGATATCACGAAAGTTTCATTGCAAATTATTGATTCAAAATCATGGAACTCGGAAAATTATAGCAATCTTATTCTTCAAGTGCTGCCAAGTTGAAAATATTTTGCTGCATGTCATGAATGGCTTGTTAGAGAACAAATTGTCAGCATTTCGATAATAATATACAGAAAAGATGCATCTATCATTAGCATTAAGGTTGTCGATACATTACAGGCTATTTCTGGGACTTTTCCTCCTCATCTTCGAATGATGAGATGCATGTATGCGAGAAATTGAACTCTGTTACACCATTAGCAGAGTTGAACCAAAATTACTGAGTCCTTTTCTCACAATTACTTGATTATCTTGTTCTTTTTTTAATTATCGATATTTTGGCAGTAAAATAAATTCATTTTTCTTCCAAATAAATCGACAGTGTAAGCTTCTGAAACATAAATGAATGATTAAAAATTTCAATAAGTCTCACGGAAAAAATAATATTTCAGTGTTTATAATTTAGATTAACAGTTGCTGACTTTAAACTTGCGTTGGAAGCTGGTTTAAACGACATGAATAAGGCAAAACTGCCAGGTATTCTAGTGGGCTTCGAATTAGGGCATGGTGATTGTAAAACTCAGGTGAAAATAACTTACGTAATATAGTAACCTGCAAAAATATCTTCTTTACTCGCCCAATAAATTCTCAAAAATTTTTCTTTATTCCAGCACTAAAATTAATTTTAGTGCTGGATTTAACATGAAGAAACTGTTTTTGCTGTCAAATCCAAGTAAAATGACATTCATATTTATTATTTATTTCATATATATTATTAGAAGCACTTCTCTGCCGACAAGCTCAATATTGCTCATAAATGCTTGGGACTTGAGGCGATTATACATGTAAGGATCAAGCCTTTTCTAGTTAACCGTCTAGCTTCAGCCGTCAGTGCGTCTGCCAGCATCCGTGCTTCATCTGTCAGTCGTCTGTGCTTCAGCAGTCAGTCATCAGTGCTTCATCTGTCAGTCGTCTGTGCTTCATCCGTCAGTCGTCTGTTCTGCCGTCCCCGTCAGCTGTCTGTACGCCTCGAAAGGAGTCATAATCGGTGTTCATTAGCCAGCCATCAGCCACTCATGCTCTGGTCGCTAGTGACATAGGTTAGTAATGTGCGCTCTTGATGGGAAATCTTCACTTGTCTCGCCTGTGATCATTATGTGCTGTAACTTTGAAACATTTAAGAGGCCATGCTGATCTCTCTTGTGTCTATTCCAGTTACGGTTGGGGAGACTATCTGGTACACCCAGGATGGAATCGATAGTTCGTACTCACCTTACTTGGTCATCACTGAAGACGAGACATATGGAAATCAAGACCATTTCGAACTTCACTGTGCCCTGCAATCCGGAAAAAGCAAGACTATCACAGCCGTGTTATCGATTAGGCCTATTGAACCGCCTGTCGTCTGTGCCTCTACCCGTCGTCTGTGCGCCAGTCGTCTGCGCATCCGTCAGTCGTCTGTGCTTCAGCAGTCAGTCGTCTGTACTTCAGCAGTCAGTCGTCTGTGCTTCAGCAGTCAGTCGTCTGTTCATCCGTCAGTCGTCTGTGCTTCAGAAGTCAGTCGTCTGTGCTTCATCCGTCAGTCGTCTGTGCTTCAGCAGTCAGTCGTCTGTACTTCAGCAGTCAGTCGTCTGTGCTTCAGCAGTCAGTCGTCTGTGCTTCATCCGTCAGTCGTCTGTGCTTCAGAAGTCAGTCGTCTGTGCTTCATCCGTCAGTCGTCTGTGCTTCATCCGTCAGTCGTCTGTGCTTCAGCAGTCAGTCGTCTGTGCTTCATCCGTCAGTCGTCTGTTCTGCTGTCGGCTGGGTGTACGCCGCGAAAGGACCTTGCTTTGTTCTAAGTTGAGTATTCGTTGTTGTCTATCCGTTACATGCAATTAAAGTTACTGTGTAAACCGTCCATTATTACCCACTGATTCAAATGATGCCGTTCAACCTCATCGATACCCTTAAAATACTGTATATTGAATTTAATTGAAATTGCGTTAACTTAAATTTCTACAGAATTTATTTTCACAGCCCACCAAAATATTTGCATTGGAAGAATCGTGCAAAAAATCTATGGATCTTATGCTGAAAATTTAACTATCCAACTGACATTCATCTCAGGTTCCATGCGAATTTTGAAAACTACTATTATTTACCGTAATGGCTGAATACAGACTGATAAATATTTATTGTCAATTCTTGTCCGAAATAAGCGGGATTTGAATAATATGTTTACTTAAGAACGACTTATTATATGCATATGACAAAGCTATTAGCCTATATATCATTTTCAAAGGCATTGTATTCGCAATTCATCTTTATTTCTGCCTAGCAACGCCGGAGGTCAAGTATATCTATGCGACTTGGCATTAATTCTGGCTGCAGTTCCAGCCATTCCAGGAACAGGAACAGTTGGTCAGGTCGGTGTATATAAGAGCATCGTAAACGTCATGGAATCCTTACTTGCGAAGGAAACCTGACACCGCGAGCATCTCGAGCATTGATCGCGCACTCACAGGTAATATCTTATTGTAAAGCCTTTCGTCGTTGAAGAGTTTAAGTCAATATTTTAAACAACGTTGTATTGTAAAGAATGAAATTTTTTGCAATGCAAATCTTTACCCAAGCGGGCCTTACTCCAGTAATTATCACTAGGAGTTTGTATTTTACACTTTTATTATTAAAAAGTAAATAAAAAGAATTAAACGAATTTCTAGTTAATTTACACATATAAAAAAACAAGAAATGCTAACATTTAAAAATGGCTTTCCGACATCAGAACGCTGCATTGTTCGGCGAGAAGATGCATAGCTAATTAGGTGGTTATAGTAATAAGTTTTCTGTGCGATAAATAGTTTTCACATGACCATCTCACCTACAACCATTATTTTTTTAGCGAACATTCTAAAATATTGTCAAAAACTGCTAAGAAAATTGAAGATATAAATACGTATAATGAATAACTTCCAATTAACCCTTACAGATTACTTAGCCTTCACTCATGAAATTTAGTTTCATTTGCTTCTAGCTCATATCAAGGTGTTTTGTATGGCTTGAGTTTTAAACTTTCTATATTTTCGTAGCTGATTTGAATTGTCTTGCGAGCAACCAGCATAAAACCACGATGAACAACACAAGAACGTTTGTCAAACGCTTGAATGAATTAACCGGATTCATTTATACGTTCAGAGAAATTTTATGGTCATTGTCATAATTGAGAAGCACTTTTTGCCATCATTAAATAGCAGCATGTCTCCGTTTGGCCCGAGAAAAGGAGTATTATTGTTATGTCCGCTCGCTGCTCTACATGTGGGTAAAAAAGTCGGTCACTTTTTGGTCAGTATCACCCGTTCATTTATTTGAGTGTTATTATGGACTCGTTTAATGAGAAAAACTCATTTTAAATCTTTTCTAGAGTCACCTGTTATAGATTTTTTGTCATTAGTTGAAAAAATTTAAAAATTATTTGGAAGTTTTGGGCCTGTCCATGGGTTCCATCTTCTCTAGTATTTGGGTATGATTTCCCTGATGTCTCTTTCCTGGTTCCGAAGCTCTAATATGATATTTGTTTTTTGCCTATTTTACAAAATATTTCAGATATTTTTCAATAAATGTGTTAATGATACCTGAAGAAGTTTATGCATACCTCTAATTTGGCAATTTTTTTCCAATATCTCAAACTTGAGTAGTCTAACTCTATCAATTTACTGCAGAGCTGGTAGCCAGCAAAAATTTGTCATTTTATGCTCGCAAAGAATCTAATGGTAATTTTCAGCCTTTAAAAAATCGGCTTATATATTTTTAATTACGCACTTATTCGGATTTTGTGCATTTAATTTTAGATTTATTCGATATGAAACTTGCCTCATGCTACGTTTTTACAATTTGAAAAATAGCGTGATAATTTTCTTTTTTTTTAAGTACATGTCGAAACCTTCCATCATGATTCCTTATACTTGAATCAAAGTAGCAATGTTTCTTCATTGATACGAGATAGCAAATCAAACTTAACCGCGATCTCTCAAACTTAACAGGAATTTATCTGGCAATTCGTCTCCCACTTCCAAGATATGGGAGTTAGAAACCATGTGTGTGCGAACGGTATGAACGGTATGAACATCAGAACGAGCGAACGTTATTCTCTGATGAACGTCTGTTATTCTCTGATGAACGTCTGTTATTCTCTGATGAACGCCTGTTATTCTCTGATGAACGCCTGTTATTCATTAATCTGTAAGGTTGAGTTTATACTAAATCCTATAATGCACAGATGCAAAGGATTGCGATGTAATTAATAGCTCTTAATAATTTTGGCCGTTATTCTATACACCAGCAGTGTAATTCATTCGACATGATTCATAACATAAAAGATGCTGAAACCAAATTCTTTATCAGGGCCACGTGTCTCGTCGCCTCTGATGGAATTAGTCGTCGTTGAACCACGTCGAAAGTAGAAGGAGCGAAGCGAAAATATTTGTTGACTCTTTAAAACGGCTTTCGGTATGAAAATCGAATTAATACAAAACGACTGGAGGGCAATGATCTCGTGCTGGATGGTGACTTATTTCTGCCCTAAAGCAGTAACTTTTAATTTGAAATCTGGCTAATAAGCTGATTGCAGATTAAGGGGCCCTTCAATAGCTTGGTCCATGCACGCTTTAAATGCATTGCTAGGTGTCTCAGACGGCACGCAACGGTCTCGAAATAAAAACTTTGTCGTGCCCACTCATTGCGCCTCCAACTATTCAATATTTTCTTGCATCAATGCCACACAGATGTTTCAATAATTCAGACGTTCAAGTACTATACTTTATTTTAAAAGTGTATATTTTGTCACACAGTTATGCCAAACTTCCATTATTGTACATGTTTTTTTTGTACAAGAAAGTCCAATGAAATTCAATTACCGCATTTCACTCTATCGTGCTCTCGCTTAACCTTGATAGTTAAATGTAACAAAATTTTATTTGAAAAAATTACTCAAAAAAATTCCACTCAATTTGAGTGAAATTTTTTGAATGTACCAATGATTTTTGGTGATTGCTTCCAAAAATTATTTACGAAAGGAAAATGAGTGAGATTTTAGTGAACCAATCTTTGAGGCGTTCTCTTTGAGAATTTGCTGAAATTTATAAGCATTAACTTTGGGAAGAAATTCTTGGATAATTTCCCATTTGAAATTAAGGCAAACAAAGTTTGTTAGCTCCTCTGCGTCGCCGTCTCTGAAGTCGACAAATTCTATTTACGAAATTAATTTACAAGAATTTAAAACTTCACGTTTATTAAAAATGAACTGATTACCTGTTTAATGCATTGAATCATGTACTTTTCCATACATTAAAAAACTAAACTGATATCCAAAAATTAAAAAAAATTCATGACTGTTTGATTTTTTTATGGTTATTAACAGATATGTACTGAGGATTAAGTTTATTTTTTCTTCATGAACAATTAACTAAGATTATGCAATATACTATAATGCGCTTCATTATTCTGCTGAGCTGCGAGTCTTTGCCTCATTTACGGCGTAAGAGAACGCAAACAAAATTCTTCAAATTAAATTTTATCTTTACTTTCGAGGAACATCGATGATTCCCAAAAAATTAATAAAATGATGAATATTGTTGAATATTCCAATTTCCACAATTGGACGGCTACTTATATTTCATTACTAAAATAACTCATGCTGAACATGCTCTTTTTCCTTGTACCTTGAACTTTTCTTTTATAATATATAGTATTTTCTAATAATTGAAATGTTTGATTATAAACCTTCCTTGAATCCAGACACGTTTTGATAAATCTTTGAGAACCAGCAGGAAAAAAATCATGACAAGGCATCAACTGAGAAAAGAAAGCATCGAAGCATAATCTTTATTATTCTATAACTCAAATAGAAAAGTTTAGAAATTGAAATCGAATGAAATTCAGTTAATTGGAGAGATTTTAGAAAAAATCAATTATAAGCTTTCCTTTTGACTCATATATTTCCTGAATCATATGGTGCGCGAGTATTCAATTAATTCAAATACAATTCAATTGAGCGTTCGAATTTCTGTTTAGGGTAACATGGGGCAGCGAGCCCACTGCTGGTCATGGGCCCATAGCGGGTCTCTCGCTAAGTATGGCAGATATTGGTCCGTGTTCTCTGCCGCCAGTCGACAGTTTCACTGGGATGAAGTGTACGGATTTACGTTTTGATAAGTGTCTGCGTTATTAGGTTATTTGTGAATAACTGTTTTAGCCCAGATAAAAATTTTTTGCTGCTAAATAAAATTTTTTTCGGTTACTGTAGATGAAGCTTTTGAAATTACTGTGAATTATATTCTGAAAGTAATATTTATAGGGATAATTTTGAGATCAAGTTTAGACTATTAGCTTTTAAAATAAAATTTTGACACGATATAAATTGAAATGATACCTAGTGGGGGCAACGGGCCCACTCGTGTCACGGGGCAAAGCGCCCATGGTGAAGCCATGTGTTATACATCATTAGATTTGTCTCAATGACCTTTTCAATACTATGACTAGCTTTTTGAATTACAAATTACACTTCATATTGCATGATTTTTTTATTTGCCGCCTCAAGGCAGCAGGTTTAGTTTCTAGTTATGCATATTTATGACTCCTTATCGAGTTATTGACTCTTGCCTTGCCATAAGTTGATTTCAGTCAACACCCATGAGCCAAAAGTTGATGAGTTTTTATGGTGTTGGCTGAAATCCCGATTAGGTACGAATTCTCTGCACATAATATCTGGATTATGGACGAAACTGGAACGAAGTTTTTTTCTGATCAACTAAATATATTTTTTCTAGTCAAGGATACATTTTTTCATGTCTCTGACGAATGACGAATTTTTTCTCGCAAGGATATATTTTTATTTTTCAAATCAAGGATATATATTTTTGTGTCAATGAATTATTTTTCTTCACGTCAGTGATAGATGTATTTTTTTCAAGTTAGGGATATGATTTTTTGAGTTGTTTAATGAATGAATGTCATATTTTTTATTACATTTTTCTTATTTTTAACTGTTGTTTTATCATTTTAAACGAAAAATATGCATTTGTGGTAAAGAGACCAAGGGTGGGTGCCTTGCCCCAAGCCCATGAGCCCATTGCCCCAGGGGTGGGGCAATGGGCCCATTTTGACACTTTTTAAAAAATTGTGTTTCATTAAAAATTGAATAACTCTGTAAGCGTCTAATTCACATCATACATTCCTCATTAGTTGTACCTTTGAACAAAACAAAGAACCACCTCGTATCAATTAAAACTTTATCAAAAATTGAGTTTAAAAACTGGGGGGGGGCGCGCTGCCCCATGTTGCCCTATATGTATGAAAATTGCATTGGATGTTTGCGAGAATGGTACAGAATTTTTTTCAGGCCAAAGCTGATAGAACTAAACGAATTGAAATATCAACTGACAGCCCGTTATGCAATTTAATATTTTTTTAACTGCATGTGTGCGAGTTTCTTTAATGAAGGGCAATTTCGATTCAATATAGTGTCGG